TTATCTCCAAACATCCTAAGTTAGCTAACTGACCAACTGAACAAGATGTTGGACAGGACACTGGGAAGTGAAACTGTTGGCAAGCCAAGGTAAATACTGTCACATGGGACATTTTCGAAAGACAAGACTTCGAGAGACGAGTAGATGGAGAAATCCTTACTAGAAAAGAATGGGAAGAGAACCCCTGGGATGTTTAAGAAAGACAAACAAAAAGAAAGGCAGAAGTTACTGCAATAGTGGTTTAGGGGCAAGAATTGCATTTCAGGAAACCTGTCATTGCCTCACTCTTTCTGTCAGAAGCTCTAAGTCCATGCCTAGAAGCTCAGAAGGCTTCTGTTGCCTCAGATGGCATTAGGACCAGACTGCATTTTTCTCTTTTACAGAATGCACGGGCTGAAATGAAGATGGTGAGGCTACTTCTAGGTTTGCATTTCTGTGACAATTGATGTTCAGGGAGATATTGGCATATATGAATTCAGACCTCATTTGTTCTCAGAGAGGAAATTACTCCAGGAACCCTTGCATTCCAGGGCTAATTCTGTTGTGGCCTATGACAAGTCACTCACTCATTGCCTCAGTATCACATGTTTCTTATATAGAATAATAAAAAGCCAAGTGTTCCTTAAGAGCTTTAGTACGTTTACAAATCTGTCTCAGAGTGGGCTACCACACTATTAAATGTCTAAATAATCACTCCCCCCACCTAAAAAAGTACCCAGATACAGAATCAACTCTGTTGCGAGTCACAGAGCCTGGATTATCTTCTAGAAAAGAAATACTTCCCACAAGGGGATCTGACATCGAGCACCGAAGCATGGCACCGAGTGGCTGCAGTGGCGAGGCCTCTCAGGAGGGAGGGTTGTTGGCTTTGTTGGGTTGGCTGCCAGGCTGTTTCCTTATGGTTTCCTGACTGAGGTCACAGTGGCTATTGCTGCTCTGACATGTGGCTGTACATACAGAGTGAACTTTTTGTTGGTACCTTATGTATCTATTGTTTTCATGCATATTGGGGAGGCACAATGGTGGCCTGTCATACTTTTCAGAAAGAGCATATACATGTAAAAAGCCTTGAAGTCTTTATTGTATGTGCCAGTGGTTGCTTGAAGCTATGGAACACTTGCCTGATCACTGATTTATCAAAAATTTTGAGGAAGAGTAAAGTATTTATAATATTAAGGTAAAGACTGATGTTATAGTAATACAGTCCTAAGGAAATTTCGTCTCACTAATGTAATAGAGAAACTGACATACAGTTTTCCTCCATGGGACCAGTCAAGTACCCCGGTTCCTTCCATGTTGGCTCTGTCATTGATATTATGAGGCTTCTAAGGTTGGCATATTTTGGAAGAAACCAACTGAAGCAGAAAGGCTCTAGAGAATTGTTTGAAAAACACCAATTATATGTACACAAAGTCATATGTGTTTGAAAAACACAAAGTCATATGTATCGTTGACTAGCGTTCAATCAAATAGTCACAGGAAACTGAAGAGTAGGAAAGGTATCCTATCACAATACAAAGAAGAAAACCGGCTTGGGCATAAGCCTTTTGTATTTTAACAATGTACAATAACTCAAATATTATTCAGATATTATTTTCTATCTTCAAAAGTATTCATATGATGTAGGATACAAATTCACAAAAGTTCTGAGTTGAACTATAAGCAAAATTCAAAGAAATTTTTTAGATAGCTTCAGCTACTTGGTACTTGATATACTCAAGAGCCTTGGGACTGTATGACCAGTGCTCCCTAGTTATTTATTATGAAGAGGAACAATTCTATTCTGCTGCATTCATAACAGCCATCCACTGTATATGATTTAATAAAATAAATCAGTGAGTAATGTTTTGAAATACCAAAAGCAAACATTACTTTCTTGATTCACAGGAAGCAAATAAATGTGTCAGAATGGCCTACCTTCCTTCTGAAAATATCCCTTGGCTAGCTTTCAGGCTACCACCTGGTTTATTTTAGGAAGTCTTACTAAAAAGGTAGTGTGTTATTAGCCATTAATATCTCATCAAGTCTTAAATTTTAACTTAAGGGTGAAAATTGGCCAAATCAAGCCTTTGAAATTGGAAAAGGAGGGGAAGGTGTCTAGAAGTAGCAGAACTTAGGTGTGTATTTGGACACTGAAATGTCAGTTTCAAACTCTATCATGAAGCATATAAATAATGTTGATTCCATAGGTAAATGTTAGAGGTCCTGATTTGGTAATTCTGGAATGGGGCTAGGAGATTGCATTTTAACCTGCCTACTCCATGATTCTACAGAATATGATACAGGAAACATAGTCATGTAGCTGTGTAAAGAATGCCCACCATATTGGGTTCTTGAAGCTCTTAGTGAGTTCTGAGCAAGTGGTCCCTTCATTTTCCTTCTGTCGCTGTGATAAATACCCTGACAGAAAGCAACTTAAAGAAGAAAGCACTTATTGTAGCTCACAATGCCAGGTTATAACCCATCGTTGCTGGTAAGTCAATGCTACAGGAAGCTGAACTAGCTAGTCACATCACATCCACAGTCAAGAGCAAACAGAAATGAAGGTGTACATGGTTCTTAGTACTCAGCTCGCTCTTTGTACTTACACACTCCAATATCTCCAGCTCAGTTGGATGAGTTTTTCCACATCAATTAACATAATCAAGACAATTTCCCATAGACATACTTACAGGACAAATAATCTAGATACTCAAAAAGGTTCTTCTTCCCCCCACCTCCAGTGGGTTCTGCATATTATGTAACTAGGCCTTTAAATGTATAAAGGAAGTCAGCCATATAGGTCCTCTAAAACTGTCTATGTATCATCAGTTAAGTATCCATGAACATCCCTTGGTGGACCATCTAGTTATTAAAATTTGTGTTGGGGCTGGAGAGATGGCTTAGCGGTTAAGAGCACTGACTGCTCTTCCAAATGACCCGGGTTCAATTCCCAGCACCCATATGGCAGCTCATAACTCTCTGTAACACCAGTTCCAGGGAACCAGGGGACCCTCACACAGACATACACACAGACAAAGCACCAATGCACATAAAATAAAAATAAATAAATTATTAAAATTTGTGACCTATACTAATACAATTGTTGTTTTAGGCCATTGCTTTTTGGGTAGTTTGTTAGGTCGTTTGAGTTGATTTCTTTCGGTTGAAAATAATTGAGAATTTATTAGCATATGGGTGATCCTAAAGTTGTAGGATTAAATAAGGTGACACGGTAAATGTAGATTAGGAGAGATGGAAAGACTGAACTTGGCCTCTTGATCTTTAAAATGGTGAAGACCTAACCAAGGAGTGGCCTGTGGGATTATAGGAGAACCAATAGGAAACAGAGTCCCACAAGCCAAGAGGAGTAAACATCCCAAGGAGAGTGACGTGATTGGGTTTGTCAAATGGTTCCATTCAAAGGCAGATAGTAGCTGGGAGTTAGCTCTTGGAATTGGTAAAGTGGTGACTGATGACATGGATAAAAGCAGTTTCATGAAGTAGGGACAGGGACCCTAGTATGGTTTTGATTTCAAGTGTCCCTCTACACCTCATATGTTGAAGGCTTAGTTCCCCACTGGTTGGCAGGTGGCAGAAGTTCAGGAGGTGAGACCTAGTGAAAGAAGTTGGAGGTCTTTAGGAGTGTGCTCTTGGAACAGGTCTCTCATCTGTTTCTTTGTACTTCCTGGCCTTCCTAGAGAGCTGTCATGGTCTACAGGATGGTGATCTTCTGCTTTGCTACTTCCCTAAGAACAGTGGGGCCAACTGATCGTAGACTAAGCTTCTGAATTCATCTGCCAAAACGACTCCTTTTTTTAAGTTGTTTACTTTGTGTATTTTTTTCCACAGCGAGACAAAGATAATCCAGATCTGACGAGAGTAAGTTCAGGAGAGAATGGCAAATCCGAAAATAGAGGTGGAAATAAAAGAAACACTCTCTGCCCTTTGCAGTAAGGCAAACAGCAGCTGAAGAGACATGGAGTCAAGAAGCTCTTGCTTTGTTACACAGTGGGAATGAGAAAGATGCAGTAGAGAGAAAGATTGATGCAGGATTCAATCAGTGAGCCTGAGACAAACAGGTAAGAAAAGTCATTTCAGGTGAAGGCAGATGCTGGGGGCAATCCAACATGATGTCTGAGGAACAATGGTGTCCTGCTGTGATTAAGGGGGTAGCGTGGGCATGAGTCCTTTCTGTTATGGTTAAGTTGAATTAAATTATTTTTAATTTAGCCAGGCAGTGCTGATGCACACCTTTAATCCTAGTACTTGGGAGGTAGAAGCAGGCAGATCTCTGAGTTCAAGACCAGCCTCGTCTACAGAGTGAGTTCCAGGACAGCCAGGGCTACACAGTGAAACCCTGTCTTGAAAAACCAATAGTTATAATAATAACAATAATAATAGTAACAACAACAACAATAATAATAATTTATTGCCATATGCACAATGTGTCAGTGTGGTGGATACCCATATGTCATGGCACATATATGAGGAGGTCAGAGAACAATGTTGTGGAGTCACTTCTCTCCTTTCCCCTTTACGTGGGTTCTGGGGATTGAACTCGTATCCTCAGACGTGCGTGGCAGGCAAACACTTTTCCCACTGAGCTTTCTCACCAGCATCTCCTCCTCCCCCCAAAAAAATTCATCCTGAATGAGAAACTTACTTTTATTGGTAACCAGGGAAACAAACCAAATATCTAAAAACAAATTGGACTGAGGGTTCTGTCAACTGTGCTGGTTGCGGTGACACATACCTATACTCTTAGTCCTTAAGAGGCTGACACAAGAGCATTACCATGAGTTCAAGGCCAGCTGGTCCTTGAGCAAGGTCCTGTCTCAAAAACAACAAACAAACAAACAAACATGAAAATCAATGAAAATTTTGATTCAACCACAATTCAATGAGCAGAAGAACTCTTCAAGTTTTTGAAACAGAGTATTTCCAGTCTAAAGTCCATGTTTTAGTATGAATGCAGATTAGAAAACTTTCTTATTCACTATTTTGATTTTATTTCTGTTTGAAATTAGTCACATATGAGTTTTGCTTTGCAGCATCAAGAGCAATGTCTGTTCAATGGCTTTACAGGTTGATATCAGTGTCGCACAGACATGGGGATAGGGATCAATTCTGAGACCATGAGTTGTGTAAGTGGCTTGAGAACAACAGAATTTATACCAGGCTGATGCAGAGAGTTAGTGACTGAAAACTGCCCATTGGTGTAAGTGTCCCCAACCTATTAAAAAGGTAATAACAGAAATAAGAGAATACGGTCTCTTCTACTTCCATTAAGGAAATAAGCCAAAAAGCCGGGCGGTGGTGGCGCACGCCTTTAATCCCAGCACTCGGGAGGCAGAGCCAGGCGGATCTCTGTGAGTTCGAGGCCAGCCTGGTCCCCAAAGTGAGTTCCAGGAAAGGCGCAAAGCTACACAGAGAAACCCTGTCTCGAAAAACCAAAAAAAAAAAAAAAAAAAAAAAAAAAAAAGGAAATAAGCCAAAAAAAGTAAAATTTCCTTAATATTTTGTTTACCTTCTATCAGCTACAGCTTCACAGGAACAGTATTGTTGTAAAGGTCTTATGCACTGCAGAGAAGTTGAGGCCATTCAACAATTAGTGTAAGTAGAACCGTTTGTGTTAAACTTCTGTGCATAACTAGAGATCATGAGAATTTTATTTTAGGTGGGGCATGCAATTAGTGCAAGATGCATTTATCTACAATGCAATTTTTCTACCTTGTGTGAGAATAAGACCATTTTTTTAAAATTTAAAAGCATCAATAATCAAAAGGAAATATTTTTCCTTAAAACTGTATTTCACTTGCAAAGGAAGAATACTGCAGAGTCTTGCCTGTACACATTCTCAAACCGAGGGACTTCTTTGACAGTAAGTCAAGCAGCTAGATCATGTTCTTATGCTATTACATCCTGGTAATATAAAAAAGTCTATCAGGAAATCTACCCATGATTCAACAGCCAGTTGAGACTTGGAAACAGTAGGAATTGCAGAGTACCGGTCTGTATCAGTTTAGCTATAATTATGTAGATAAAATTAAGTTGTTTTTTTTTTCTTACTCATTAACCATTCATTCATGTCAATTCAGTGTACCAAGCAGTGGAGAGCTCAAGTCTTAGGAAGGATGGTTATCAGGCACCTCTTGTAGGACTTGGGCCCTGTTCTCAGGGAGTCTGTGGTGTGAAGGGGAAGGGAGAGGAAGGACATATAAGTCTGGTGCAGGACTGGCTGAGACAGGAGCTGTGAGATACAACGGCATCAAGGTAAGTAAGTTCCTTTTATTCCACCCAGAGGAGTCTGGAAGTCTTCAGAGGGTATCACGGGTAGAACTTACATAAGCCCAGAGCACATAAAGGACTTTCCAAGAAGGGGCACCATAGGGTGGACTATATCTCATTGTGATTCTTTAGAGTAGTAAAGAGCTCTCTCTCTCTCTCTCTCTCTCTCTCTCTCTCTCTCTCTCTCTCTCTCTCTCTCTCTCTCTCTCTGCATCTGTGTGTGGGTATAGACAGACATTTGTGGCGCATGTGTGTCTGGAGGCTAGAGGAGCAGGGAGAGGCTGGCTAATCATGCTTGGCTGACTGGCTGGTGAGCCATTCATCTGCTTGTCTTCACGTGCTGTGTTTACAAACACATGCTCCTACACCCAGGGTTTTGTTAACATGGGTTCTGAGGATAGAACTAAGGTCACAGTGCTTGCAAGGCAACCACGTGACCAGCCGACCCAGTCTCAGTGTTTCAGTAGTGTGAGTGGTTTAGGCTAGAGCCTCCCACAGCTACTCTAGAGAGGACTCTATCACCAGGCACGGTCTCAGCCCAGCATGGTCTTGATAGAGGATGATTAGAAGTGAATCTCCATCAGTGGATAGATGGAAAACGAGGCATTGGACCTGAGGATATTAGTCTGAAGGCCGGGGAAGCCTTGATGGAGATGTGACCAACACAGGGCATTGTTAGTAAGGATGCTTGGGAGGCAGGAGTGTTTTGTAACCTGGTTCCTGCCTTGATCACGTCCTTTATCTGTGCCTCAGTGGACTCTGCGGTCTTTTCTCCTCACCTTTCAAACCCTAGTTCCAAAAATGCCTACAGGGTGAAGCCCTCCCCACACCCTCTCTGAAGCACAGGTCTCTGCACCCAGTGCATCTGGGTCATACCGCACTCAGCTTGTCAGGCTGTTGTCTGGGATGCTGCTTCATCTTGGGCCCCGCTGTTTGCAGGTCTGTATTAGACAGAGTGGAACAACCAGGAATCCTCATCTGCGATTCAGGGAAAATAAGGATGAAGGTAAAAACTTGAAATAGAAATGGCTGCAGAATCAGATCCAGTTTAAGGGGGGAAATCAAGGACTTTGTTTAGTCCATGTGACATTTCCAAAGTCTCTAAGAAAGGCACAGTTTTTTTGAGGGAGGGTTATTTGTAGCCCAGGCTGTTCTCTAACTCACTATGTGTCCTGATCCTTCTGCCTCCACCTTCCAAATGCTGAGATTACAAACATATCCCACTATGCCTGGCCAAAAAGTCATATGCTAAGTTTAGATTCATGTCAAGTCTTTGATAAACTTATAAATAGAAATTTATGACCAAACAAAACTAAAGTATGTCATTTGGCGCTGGGTTCAACATGTTTATTGAAGAACTTTATTATAACACAAGAGAAACTATTATTCATATAAAGAAAACTTTCTCTAAATAATTCTAGCTTTATCTTTTTTTTTTTTTTGTCTTTGTTTTTGCTTCATTTTCCAACAAGATCTCACTGTGTCGCCCAGGCTGGCCAGAACCTTGAGGCCCTCTTGCCTTAGCACCGCCACACTCGGGGTGGTCAATCTCTTCAGACAATCGAATGCTTAACTGGTACATGTGCTGTGTGAAAAGGCGTACTGGTTAGAGATGTTCACAGCGGAGGCTGCTAATGTGAAAATCAACACGTGGCTTCCAACCGAAAGCCAATCCATGAGTGGAAAAAAAGTCTAGTTAGAGGACTCAGCCCTCGTGTGTGCTGAGCAAGGCCATGGTTGATCGGTAAACAACGGAGTGGAAAGAGACGTGGAGAGTCTGAGAAAACAACACACACAAAACTGTCAAGCCTCAGGCCTTCCAGTTATAATCTTAAGAAAAAAGGGAACATTCTTTGCTGCCATTTACATGGAGCGAGCTGTTTCAGAAGGGTTTTGTTGTTTTTGTTTTTTTCTAAAGGAAAAAGGAGTTAGACCTTTGCTGCTGTCATTTGCTGTCCTGAGTGTGACAGTTGAAGTTTGGTTGACGTTTTTTCCATTTGGGTTCTGCGGAACAGGGGAGTGGTAGAAAGTGTTGAGGAGGGGGAGTTAGGCATGAGCCTCCCTAAAGTCCAAGACAGCGTAGTGTAGCTCCAAGGCCAGGTCTTACAAACACGTCTCACCTGGGACTCTCAAGGTTTACCCCTTGCACATGAGCAAGCATGTTCAAATGTCCTATGCCGTTAGGGGAATATGTAATTGTAGCAAATCAACAATAATTTCTCCTCATTTTTCAATCACTCAGAAAAATCCATTGAGGTGCAAAATCAGAAAGCTTGGCATGGAGTTTTCTCTTAGTCACACACCTCATGAGCTAGGAACAAGAGAAGGGGCCGCTCCTGAGCTGTGGGTTGGGATCATGCACTGTTGGACAGACAAGGGGATTTTGTGTCCTAGCCATTTCAGGCCAAGGGGAGGAAAGGGCCTGTGACACCTTGAGCTCATTGGAATGTTCGATGAAGATATTGTTCAGCTAAATGAGACTTGAGAACTGAAAACAATGTGCTAAAAGAGGAGAATCTGGGACTGGAGATGGCTCTTTGGTTAAGAGTGCTTACAGCTTTTGTGGGGGGCCACAGCTGGCTCCCAGCACCCTAGTTTGTGGTTCAGCTCTGGGAGCTCTGACATCCCTTTCTGGACTCCTCTGAAACCTGCACACATGTGTATGTACCCTGCTTCACACACAGATACATAAGAAATAAGGTGAGTCTTAAGGAAAAAGAAAAAGAAAAGTCTGTGTGGTTGGGCAAAACTCAGGGAGCATTTATAAGACGGAGGATGGGACGAGGACTTGGAAGTCATGGCGGGACAGAGGGCTTGAGAGGGCTGTAGGGACAGACAGAGGGCAGCTGGGAGGGTCTCTCACTGTTCATTTATGGGTGGTATGAACTGAGGGCCAGAAAAGGGAAGGAGGCCCAGGATTACAAGGTCCCTAAAAGCAATCTTTTGTCCTACGGACAACGAGGAAAACACGCACTCTCCCGCCCCTCTGTCCCCTAGGAGTTTTGAAAGCTTTGTGGCAAATGCATGGCTTTAAGTCTTTAAGGGCCGTTCAATCATCAGGGATTTTCCACAAGGCCTTACAAAAATGTAGATTACACTGTAAAAAAAAAGTGCTTTTCAGTCCATAAAAGTCCGTTTATACTGAGCAAATATCTTTATGATGTTTGACTTTGGTTCAGGTCCCTATTCCGAGAAGTGAATTTTGGTGGCGTGAGTAGGAAAAAACAACACGGAAATAAGAAAGACCCACGATGGCCATTTGGAGCACAATGGGACCTTGTTTACTCGACGACGTGGACTCCAGCGTTCCCTTGAAAAAACGCAAGTGATTAAGAAAATACTTTGAGAACCTAATAATAGTGCCCTGTAATCTGAGAACCACCTCTCATCTTTCTGAGGCTCAGGAACGTGCTTAGTAAGAATGTATGTTTTTAATACACTGATTCTTAGCAACGATGTAAGCGTTTTTTTTTAATCTTTTTATTTTTTTGGTTTTTCTAGACAGGGTTTCTCTGTGTAGTTTTGGTGCCTGTCCTAGATCTCACTCTGTAGACCAGGCTGGCCTCGAACTCACAGAGATCCTCCAGATTAAAGGCATGAGCCACCACCAGCCGATGTAGTTTTTAATTGGTACAAAAGTCAAATAAGGCATTGCCCTTTATTGTGCACCACATATAGCATCCAGTGACTTGTGACTTGTAGGCAGATTCTTTTGTGTGTCACAAGTGTACCTGTAATTTAGTATAATGCCAGGTCACTGTTCTCAATCTCTCTCTCTCTTTCTCTCTCTCTCTCTCTCTCTCTCTCTCTCTCTCTCTCTCTCTCGTGTGTGTGTGTGTGTGTGTGTGTGTGTGTGTGTGTGTGTGTGTAATTCCTCTCAACAGTTGTTTTACAGAGATTTTAATTAGTAATTAAGACCAGTGTCCATTTTAAGAATCAACAATCTTCCTTGCAGGTAGACACAATACTGTTTACATACGTTCCGGTAAGAAATGGTTCACTGTCTTGGGCGTGATTTAATATTGTGTTCTATAAATGGTGGCTAAAGGTACAGTCAGTAGCTTGTAGTTGTGTCAAGGAAGTTGCTGCTCTGTGTGTGTGTGTGTGTGTGTGTGTGTGTGTGTGTGTGTGTGTGTATGTGTGTGTGTGTGTGTGTGTGTGTGTGTGTGTTGTACTCATGGATACATATGGACAGTGTGTGGGCAAGTACATGTGCATGTGTGTGAAAGCCAGAGGTCATCATCACGTGTCCTCCTCTATTGCTCTGCCTTATTCTGAGACAGGGTCTCTCTCTGAACTTGGAACCCATCAGTTTGGCTAAATTGCAGGCTGTTGAGCTCCAGCATCCTCCTTTCTCTGCCTCCCTACCTGGAATTCCAGGTACTGCCGTGCCTAACTTTGACCTGGGTGCTAAGGATTTGAACTCAGCTCCTTATACTTGCATAGCAAGCAGGTTGCCAATTGATTCATCTGCCCTGCCCCAAGATCCTGTCTTTTGAATAAGATAAATAAAAATAAAATCACAGGACTTGAAATAAGCCCGTGAGACCCAGTTAGATGGTGATTTCATAAGATCAGATACAAATGACCTGACCAATCCTTTTCAGCTTTAGTTTTTCTAATTCCTCGTGTTGAAACATACAATTTTCTGAGCTAGGGAATCAAGTCTTGGCAGAAGAGCGCAGTTTCTCTTGCATGACTGACTTGCCCAAAAGGAGGACGTCCGAGAAAGAATGTGTGCCAGCCCCTACCACATCAATCTCAATCAAAATCATCTTGTCTGTACAGGTGTTGTAGCAAGAAGTTTTGGATGAAAAAGGACGCTAAAAATATGAGGCAATCTCACTCTACAACTACCTGAAACTGTTCTCTTTTCTCTGGACGAACGTCAATAGAAGTGTGGATTTTATTCCCTGCCCCTCACTGGATTCCAGGCAGCAGACAGACAGAAGCAGATCTTTTTAAAAATATGTAATTGCAATGATTTAAGTCTCTAAGATCTAGAGTATTTTGTTTGTCTGAACGTCTAATCATACAGACCTTAGCCGTCATATTAAAATGGCGAATTTTATCCTTTGGCATTTGAAAGCACAACATACATAATCCTTTATCTCTCCCAGAGCTATTAGCTTTTTGGCCTTTGGCTGGCCGATGTATACAGTATCTATAGTTATTGCATGCAAGGGCTCTCGACTGACTCCCAAGGTCTTTGATCAAACCAGCTAAACTTGATTTTCCAGATTGCTGGAGAGACAAGGCCTACAACTATCGGCTTTTCAAGTCCTGGCAAGTCATGGAGACCCCTTGCTCCCTCACGGGCTTTATCAGAATCAAAGGTAAACAGGGGGCCGGTTCTCATTCAAGTATGCAGCATCAGGATCCTGCTTCGACTTTCGCAGTTGTAGCAGCACAAGAAAAACAACAGTTGAAGTAAGAAAAAGGTTCCCTGGGCGGTAGATGCCAAACTAAATAATGACACCCAAAGCAAAAACATGCTTCACTGAAACTAAGCTTTAGTCAGTTCAGCCCTACTGAAAACAAAGCTTTTTTTGTGATTTCAAAAGTGAACATTGTACTTTGCTCTGGCAGCCATGTATATGTTTTTGAATGATTCGATTATGCACAAATCCCCGGTCTGTGGGCCTTTCAGCACCTCATCTCAGGAGTGATTTGAAAACATGACTGCAAATTTCTGCACACAGCGCTTGCAAGTTTCCTTCTCTTCATCTTTTAAAGCCTAGCCTTCAAGTGACAGTGTTTTGACACACACTGCTGTCTTCTCTCTCTCCCTTTTCCTCTTCCTCTCTCTGAAATATCTGCAGGAGACAGGGCACTGGATTCCGTGTCCCCGAGACCTCATTTTCACCCCCCCCCCCCCCCCCCCCCCCCCCGTCCCTTGCTTTATGCTGTCCTCTCTCTGCTGATCTCCCCAAGGCACACTTCCCAGAGCATTTCTGCAGTCACCAGCACTGTTATTTGTGCAACCTGGGCTAGGAAGGTAACACACCAACCCCAGAGGTTTTGCTCTGTCTTTATACTTATTTTTAATTGGACAGTAACATACAGGCTTGGTTAGTAAGTAGATGATTAAAACCTCAGAGTATAAATGGTACCAGTTGGAGAATACCTGAGTGTTGGGGAGGAGGTAGAAGCAGGCAATATCAGGCCCCCTCTTCTTTGGGGAAAGTTCAGAGCTGACAGTGCACACATAGTCATTGGGAGAGTACACCATCCAAGGCAATAATACATGATACATACTGTGCCAGATCTCAGCACAAATTCTAATGACTCTACTGTTTTTTTTTCTTCTAAAATTGGAGGGATAACCCTATGTTTGCCTAAATTCCTAAGTGCACCATTGCAGTCTACATGTTGGAAGCTTCCAAGGATGTTAAGAAGGGAGCTTTCCTCCCTCTCTGAAGGCATCATCACGCTCTTGCTTGATACTCCTCAGCAAGCTGGTTGGTGCCTGCCTCCTGCATTAAGACAGAGCAGATGTGAGAAACAAGCACAAGGAACCCAGAAGTGACCTGCCTACTTGATAGATGCTTCTAATAGACTGCCAAAATTATGGGTAGATTCTCCAGAGACCACCATGGTGCCCAAGTACAACCATACATTCATCCAACACTAGGAGAGGCTAATTCCCTAAGACATCACAAGACTTCCCTGAAAAGCCATCAGCATTAAGATCAAACTTTAAGAAAGACAGCAACCACATTAAGGGGCAGAAAATTCATGTAGGATTGTTGATTCCATATATTCATACATGTAGTCCCCCTTTCCGTGTGCGCACGTGCGTGCGTGCGTGTGTGTGTGTGTGTGTGTGTGTGTGTGTGTGTGTGTGTGTGTATGCGCGTGTGTGTATCGGACTGTACTCTGTTGTTTTCTTCTACAGCTCAGATAACTTCTCACTTTCCTTTGCCCTTAAGTCTCACTCTAGATGTTCTGCTAGATAAGCTTGTTTACTAGTGCAGTTTCAACTCCCTGTTTTATGGTGGTGATGCTCAAGTCAAAATCTGGAGGCAATACTGCTCTGAGTTTCAGCATCCTTTATCCGACTCCATCTGCACTCTCTATCTCTCAGATACCCCACACGCCAGCTGCACAACAGGGTCATGAGATTCACACCTCTCTCTGCTCTGTGACCTGTGACCCGCTGTGTGAATAGCATCTCTTTACCACATTGTTAAAGCTATACGCCTAAAAGCTCTCCCGAGGCCTCCTCTTCCTCAAACATCTAGTCAAAGCTGGCCATGGAGAGTGTCCCCCCACCCCCTGCCCCTGCCGCCATGCCACTTCCAAAATCTGTCAGACCAGGCACACAACTCAGCTCCATCTCCTGCTTACTGTCTTGTCCTCCGTCTTCAAGAGTGAACTTTCTGAGCTATGATTCAACTGTGCATTCTCCTTCAAGCTACCCATGGCTACCCCTTGGTCTTAGGATAGAATCTAAACTCTTGAGTATTGCTTACAAAGCTTGTATGTTCCTGAATTCTTTACCTCGACCCTCTGTGTCTTTCAGCTACTGTCTTTGAAGTCTTCCAAACTCTCTTTTACTTCAGGGTCTGCTTCATTCTGCTGCTGCTTTCATCTGGTTATGATTGCCTGTTCTTAAACCTGGCAGGGGCCTCTCCGCCTGCAAGAAGTCTGTGAGCTACCAGTCTAGGGATAAGGCCTCCCATCACTCCCTTACTATTCCATATCACAACATTTATTTCTGCAGATATAGTTATCTCTTGAGGAGTTTCTATTTTCATTCTCCCATAAATTCTTTGAGGACAGCAACTTGATAGTTACTTCATCATACATAAAGGTTTTTGGAGAAAGATACCCACAAATGTACACCTGAAGAGGTTATACCCATCCTAAGCAGAACGTGACCTAATGAATGAGATAGATAATCTGTCTTTCTTCCTGTATCTCCACATGTGTCCTTGTAACATCATATTTAGTCAAATAGAAAGAGATTTCGGAAATGTTGGACCTTGAAGGATTCTTACAGATCACCTTTATTTTATGCATGAATAACCAAGGTCCAGGGAGAGAAGGCCACTTTGTCACCCCCCCCCCCCCCCATGGAGAGTCCCCGAACCCGTGCCCTAGCATTCTTTTCAGGCTTCTTCATTTTGGCCACTTTGATATGTTTGAGATAACGGTCCACTTTCTCTTTCTCTCTCTCTCTCTTTTTCATTTTAGTTTCTTTAGATGACTAGTGGGTAGAACAAATTTTTAATATTCAACAGCTATTTGACATTTATCTTTATTCTAAAGATAAATCTCTAAAACCTTCATCAATTTTATTGGATCATCTGCTTCTCTCTTTTATGGTTAGGAATTTCTTACATATTCTGTATATGAATTCTTAAATTTCCCTTAATGTTGTTTAGTCATCTGGGACCCAGTGTATGCATAGGCAGCCACCCTTGAGGGAAATGCTCATCTGCAGGAAGTGTTTGAGGATATTTCTTGGGAGTGCTGTTTGTAAAAGTATACAATTGGAAATGCATAAATGTATGTTTGTCTACTCCAGTTTGTCTAATCCTGAGTGAGTCAGTAAATTATGGTCTGCTCACATAATGGCAATAAGAGCATAAATGAACTAACTGGTTCTACATGTTCTCTACAGAGTTGGTGCCAGAAACTAGTACGTCGCATAGAAGAATAGATAAAATAATACACACGGCATGTGATGCAGTCAAATACTAATTTACATTTCTGAGTAAATACATATGAGCTAGAAGTGAAAGAAGAGCAGTCTAAGTACTATGAGTGAGTGCTGCTCCAGCAGGGGATCAGAGTTCAGTTCCCAGCACCTGTGTCCACTGGGCCACAGCCATCTCTTACTCCATTTCCAAGGAATCAGGTGCCTCTGGCACCCTTCAGCTCTGCACTCACATGTACACACCCCACCATTAAAGACAATTAGATATAATCTTTAAAAAACAAACAAACAAACAAAAATCCCTCCAAAATCGTGACTGGAAGAACATTCTTCCTCCCTAGGGAAGAAGACAGGATAAAGGTTGGGTACTCAATTTGGCCTGTGATAGGCCTTGTTAAAAGAGATTTATGGAAAATGGAAAGATGTTAGCACATGGTAAGTTTGAGCTCTGAGTAAATGAATGCCTGTGGCCTTATTCTGTATTATTTGTGTACAATTGAATTATTTCTGAATAAAAGAAAATATAAAAACCTGGCAAAAGAGGTAGATCAGAACTTTTTCCCAGTCAAACTAACAGAATATGCACACACACACACACACACACACACACACACACACACACACACACACACACACACATTATACATGAAACACATTTAAATAACTTGCAATAGAAGAGGTGGAATGCAGGAAAGTTTTAATGTGAAGGAAGGACAGAAGCGAAAATAGGGCAGTGACGGAGAAGGTACAGGGAGGGATGGAGAGTTGGCGAAGGAAGGATGCTTATAAAATACTGTGCTACATAGCTTGCCTTGGGAGGAGTTGGAGGGAGAAACACATCATTACGAGTCATAATCATTGATTAAACCTTTATAAATCATTATAGTAACATATTATAGGAACTGAAAAAAATCACATAGGCCAACGTGTCCTTCATGTTAGTCATAAGACAAACAAGGCCCAGAAAAACAGAAAGATAAGTCCGGGCATTTTATTTGAGAATATCTGTATCCAGCTATTCCTGTCAGTGAATGTACTTGTACTGGCTGACTTTTCAGTTGATGTGAGTTATATGTTTTAGACAGATGGTTAAAAGGACATAAATCTTGATTAGGAAGCAAGGATATTGTTGTGACTACAGAAATGTCACAATACAGACTAATGGGTAGCCCCACAGGTAACACCTGTGAAATGGGTGTCATTATGGAGACTCTCAAAGAGGGACACTAGAATTCAATTGCTGCTGCCTCCCACTTGTGCCTGGGGGCATCTTGCTTGCTAGCTGATCAATATCATTCTGGTTACATCTGTCTTTTATAACTCCAATAAAGACTATCTCATTAGGTGGCCCAAAGCCAAGAGATAACTATGAAGATCTTCCATGAAGTTCTTACAAAAGGTGGCCTCAGGTCACTACCACTAAGGTGAGTCACTGTGATTTTCCTTAGGGACTTTCTTCTAGTTACAGGCTAGTGGGCAGATCTGGAATGAACCAATAAGTTTACATCTTTGTGTTGGTAACATAGTCAGAGATCATGGTGAGGAATGACCTTAATAAAGATAGAGGAGGCAGCTGACTGAGGCATGAAACACTGGTCCATAGGTTTTCCTACCCTAAGGGGCCTCACATTCCCCCAGCCAGAGACAAAGGTCTGCAGATGTTGGCGGGCTTGCTATCTCCTCTGACACGAGAAGAGGGTCTTCCAAAGGTATCATCAGGAGCTTTCCCTCCAGCATATCGGCACAATAGTGAATTTCCTAGATTAGCTAATCACATCTTTCAAAGACATAGGGAGCCTTGTCCTCAGAAGGTGACATATAAAATTGGCAGGTTTCAACTTGCTCAGGAGAAGGTGGACCCAATGAAAACAAACAAACAAACATAAGAAACTCAAACTTCTGTTGGTCACGCCCAATTGTGGTGTCACCAGGCGATTTCATTCTATTTTATACTTCCTCAAACATTAATGCTTTCCTTTGTGATATTTAGGAAGGTTTGATTTAGACAGTCGTTTGCGTGATTGGTATTCATTGGTTTTTCTGGCTAAACTGTAAATCTCATGAGACCAGGGACCACATCTCTTTTATTATTTACATCATCTCAGAGCCTTGCCAGAAATCTAGTTTATGTTATTAAGTTCCACACGTACCTGTTGACTGTGTTGTTAAGTGAGTGAATGAGTGAGGGAGTGAATGAGTATAAGAACACAAGGCGTTAATGAAGGATGACTGAATTCAATGGAGATCACACCAACGCTCTATGGGCTATTGGTGGGAGATCATTGTACAACAATCTAGAACAAGCTCTTTAAAGATAGGGGCCTAGTGGGAACAGTGTGACATCATGATTCGTTAATGGTGCTGCGATGGCTGTGTTCCCTCACTTATTATGTGACCTCAGGTAGCTCAGTTCTTCACTCTGATCCACTGTTTTCCCCCTTTATACAATGAGAACAGGGAAATGAAACAGTTTTGAATGGGCATGAGGACTAAATAAGATAAAGAGGCAGTTTATAAACTTTTCTAATAGGTCTTTTTTTTTTTTTTGCGGAAGTGGGGTTACATTAAACAACACTCAGTTTTATTAATGAAAAATGGATATATCAGTGGTATCATGGACAGAACCACAAGAAAAACAGCAAGGGTAGAGCTGTATAGAGCAGCATTGATGGACTTATTCTTCAAATCACTGTCAAGAGCTGGGGTATGGAGCAGGCATGCCTGAGGTCCAGGAAGAAGTGTAGGATAGTGGGTAACCAAGACTTGTTTCTGAGTATAAAAGGAAGTTATCCCTGGGTAAGCTGTCAGTTACATTTAGGAAGTTTCTTCATTTTTCATGAGGTGGTCACACCTGAGTGACTCTGCAATGTCACTCCTCAAGTTCCAAAGACAGTCCTATCTAGAGAAAGAAAGACCTTGAAGGTGTCTCTTTCCAAATGGAGGCAGCCAGTACAAGCTTTTCAGGTTTGAGACTCTGGTGATCAAAGTTTCAACACAATTTCTGTTTTGTCATTGGTACTGGCTTTGACGACCTAAGTGAACTGCGGTTGAGATGACTCAGGCTGGAAAGGCCTTGCATCAGTATGGAGTGGCATCACACCTCCCTTCCTGGAACCACTTGCTCTAGACGACCTATCCTAGAGGATATCACTTCCAATTCCCCATGATATTGTAGTCTTGCTTTATGCGACTCTCAGAATAGGAAGTGGAAAAAAGTATCTATCATCCAGAATTCTGTTGTCTGTTTGATTGGCTAGCAGCACTCTCTGCCCCTTGTAACCTCCAACTACATACTGCCCAAGATAGTGATGTCTTATATGACATAAACTATTTTATACTTTAGTTGAGGTTGAAGGACAGGTGTGAATTTCATGGTGGTCATCACTGATACTTTCTTTACAACTTTAATTCCTTTTGTATTTCAGAAGAAACTAAGAACTTCTTACTCCTTAGTATCCATCCATTAAAGAAGTAGTCATAATCAGGCTTGATTTTTGGTGATTGTTTCTGTGGTAAGGGGATATAAGTTTTTTGTTTTTAAATACAATCTTCCCTTGGCTTCCTTTTACTTAAATTGGATGCATATGTAAGTAGCATCGAAGTTTTCCTTCCCTTTTTTGAAGAGATGATGATTTTATTTATTTATTTGATTTTTTTGAGACAGGTTTCTCTGTGTAGCCCTGGCTGCTCTGGAACTCAATCTGTAGACCAGACCTGCCTTGAACTCATAGAGATCTGCCTGCCTCTGCCTTTCAAGTGCTGGGGTTAAAGGCGTGTGCAACCACTGCCAGTTCTTAGAAAAATTAAGCAAGTTCAGTGATTTCTCCTATTACATTGACATTGTTTTCTATTTTGGTACAGTTGCACAGTGATAGCTTATTAACTAGAGTTTGGTTTTACGTCCTGTCTCACTCAGGCATCTGCCTGCTTCTGCAGGTTCTGACAGAGGTGTGTCCTGTGTCCACTATTAACATCATATACAAGAGTTCCCCTGTCCCACAGATTTATGTGTTTCCCTTTTGTTTCCTTCTTCTCCTAGAGCCCTCACTGGAGTAATTTTACAGACACTGGTAACATACACATTATGCTAATAAATAGAACAATTTCAGAAACATGATGAAAACTAATGGGCTAGCTGTACTAATTTTCATTCTATTATTATTTTCATCTTATTACTTTAAACTGTTTTTGAAAATATTTTGTTAAATGAAGACGATTTAATTTCTCAAAAATTTCCAGTGAAACTTGTTTTTTGTGACTGTGAGGTGACAGTCTCTCACTGAATCTAGAACGTGGCTGGTCATCAGCAGCTCTAGTGAGCTTTTGGTCTCTATCTGACAGGGTGTTGGGGTTTCAGGCACAGGCAGCCATATCTGGTGTTTTTACATGAGTGTTGGGATTCAGACTCAGGTTTCCATGCTTGCAGAGCACGTGCCCTTCCTTACCCACTGAGCCGTCTCTCCAGACAGACCTTTATTTTGTTTTCAAGACAGGATGCTTCAGCCTCTCTGGTGTTGGAATCACAGGTGTGCGTCACACTACTGACTGTTTTAATCATCTATTCATGTCTCTGGTATTGGAACTCTCCCTCAGCCCTGAAAAAATATATGTCTAGAATAGGAACAGATATTTTCTTGGTATTTTACGTTCTTCTTGGAGATGGAGGCATCGGCCTGTAGCTAAGGCTTGCTTGTGAGTCATCAAATCAGAATAACTGCTCCCCTCTTAGCCTCGTCAGCTTCAGCAGAGGCAGAAGCAGCATCAAGAGTCTTTTAAACTCCTCATTGTATGTGACACTGATGGCCTAAGCTATCAGAAGAACTGGTTGGTGGTCATTTTCTGGATCTCTGGGCCTTTACCCAGGGCTTTTCCTGACTCCTGGAGAGGTGCTGGGATTTGTTGTCACACAGTGAGACTTAGGTTCCTGCAGTGGGTCTCCCTTCGCCCTGACATTGCCCTAGTGTGTTGTAGAACCGAAGAACATGAAGAAGATGGTAGAGGGAGATTCTCTTCCCCCTCCACCAAAGGGACAGAAACTTCCAGACATGACAGTTTCCTAAAATACAGTTGGCCTAATTTGTGTGAATGTCACTTTTTCTGAATGTCATGAACTCCATCGCTTCCTTTAGAATATGATACTTGTTTTTGTTTTTTTTTTCTTCTTAGTTAAGGAAAAGGGAGCATGTTGAATACATTATGAAGGCTACTCTTCTAATTAATGAAAAGACTTGGCTGAGTTTAAAAAACAAGTGACTCTTTTCATATCCAAGTTACTTTTAGAAGTGCCTATAAATTATTACCTTCCTCTGTATAAGAGGTGTCTCATGACTAAAGGCTGAGACAGCCTCCATCATGCTCTTTAACAATGACTCCTATGTTTCTTTGGTAAACTCATAATGTTAATTACACTCTGCAACAGATGGAGCACCTTCCATCCAGGACCTCAGTGCACCTTGCAAATGTCATAAACCTTCAAAGCCCTTCCATAATGGAGGTAAGTATCTATGGTCACACTTTTATAGGCAAAGAAGCACAAAGCAGGCAAGTGTTTTGTTTTTTAAAGTGGAATATGCTTTGGTCAAAGATTTAGTCATCACTAAGAGTGTAGTGAAAACCCATGAACACCTACTGAAGGGTAACTGAGTGAAGTGTCCCACTGGCGAGCTTGGCTTTTCCTGCCAGGGAACACCTGGACAATATTATTTGAAAAGCCACATGTTAATAAATCAAAAATTATCTGCTGATAATTAGTCAGTTTTTACAATGATTAGTGTAGAAAATGGCTCCTGGACCTTCATAGTGATATGGCAAATTCTGAAAATAGAAATGGCCAAACACCTTCTTCTTCTTCTCTTTCTCCTCCTCCTCCTCCTTCTCTACTACTACTATTGTTATTTCCCCACCCACTCATGTGTGTTACATGGTGTCTGTGAGGAGCATCTACAGTGGTCCAGGAACAACTTCCTGATTTTAGTTCTCTCCTTCCACCTTTACGTGGCACATGAATTACTTTTGTGTTGATGTGATAAAAAACCTATGACCAAAAGCAATTTAAGGAAGAAAAAGATTTATTTTGGCTTACAGGTTCAGAGGGATGGAGTTCATTATGACTGGGAAGGCATGATGATTGTTAGAAGACGCATGGTGACAGGAACTGGAAGCTGGCTGATCACATTTTTATCCACACACACAGGAAGTAGAGTGAAGCCATAAATTCTCCAAACCCATTCCCAGTGACTTCCTCAAAGAGAGCTAGACCTTCTAAAGTTTCCATACCCTCCTCAAATAGCAGCACCAGCTGGGGACCAAGTGTTGAAACATAAAATTACCGAGGCCATTTCCTATTTAAACCACAGCATGTTGGTTCCAAGACTGATCTCAGGTCATCAGGCTTGCATCTCAGGCAAAAGTGCCTGAACTCACCAAACCATCTCATTGGTCCTCCATACACTTTTTTTCACTTGATCTTTGCCAAAAGGCCAAGAAGTGATCCCCAAACACTTTTATAATCTGACACCGAAGGAATGGAACTTAGAGATGAGTACAGAGACTATCTAGTCAAGCGTTTTCATAATTTAGATGAGAAAATTGGGATTGAGGAAGGTTAATAAGTAACTTTCATGAAATCACTCAGCTTTTAAAACCTTAATTTAATTTCTCTGCCCTCCCTTTTCGTGCAGAAAGGGTTTAATTTGGCTTAGTCATTCAGTTGGCTAGTGGCATCAATAACTAAAATCCAGGCTCCTGGCCCTCATCAACCCATCTTCCCAATGAACTACATTTTTAAAAACATTCATAGCGCCGGGCGGTGGCACACGCCTTTAATCCCAGCACTTGGGCGGATCTCTGTGAGTTCAAGGCCAGCCTGGTCTACAAAGCGAGTTCCAGGAAAGGCGCAAAGCTACACAGAGAAACCCTGTCTTGAAAAAAACAAAAAACAAAACAAAACAAAAACATTCATAGTGTGTGCTTTTCTGCATCCTAAGTATTATGAAATCATAAGATGTGGGAATTGTGAGGAGTTGACTATTGTTCTTTAATTTCAGAGGAATCTGATACTCAGGGAGCTTAAGGGAATCACTACCAGCCATAGAGTCACAGAAACCCAGACTCACAATTTCCCCTTCCTTCCACAGATCTGAAATGTTCCTTGTTAACTAGGATCCCAGCAACCAAAACCATCAATACAGTTTTATACTGACTTTTCAGAAGTATGCTTTTATTGAAGACAATTTAAAACAAAATAAATCACAACAAAAACTCCAGGGAATGCCATTAGGTAAAGAGTAATTGAAATTCTGCTTGTTTTTGTGACATGTTCTGGACCTGGAAATCTGATCATGGGTGATAACTTATAAAGATGACTAGGAACTGCAAGATTCCAAAGTGCTGACTGATGTTTCAGAGCTTAAACTGTCCTCATCAGAGTTTCAGGAGTGTGCATTTTTGTTATGATTAAAATTATCAGCTGGTTATAGTGGCATATTCTAATAGTCCTAGATATTCAGGAGACTGAGGCAGGAGGATTACTCAAGTCAAGAGTTGGGGAAGAATTGGTAGAATGAGATCTTGTCTCAAACAAAACTGCCACCCCAATCAAAAGAAAGAAACAAAGAACAACAGGAAGGTTGGAAGAAAGGGAAAGAGGGAGGGAGAACATTGAAGGCCATAGATAATGTATGGTAATCCTCACTAAACAAAAATAATTAATGACAATGACACACTGATTTTTTTTTTAAACCGTCACTGATAACCTAGCACTTAGTAATGTTTATGTATTTTGAGTGTGTCAACTCATTCTCTGGCCACCCAATTAAAGGGAAGAATGCTTGAATCCATTCAAGATAGCTGTTCCTGTATTTTACATATCCTTCCTTCCTTGGGAAGTTACCACAATAATATGCACTTTGGATCATCTGGCCTACTTTAAAAGTTGTAAAATAAAACTATTTTTATTAAATAAATCTTGTTGTATGATACCTTCCAACTGTCGGGTGTTTAATGAAAGCTGGTAACTCACATAACAGTTCTTTGGGTGTCACTGGAAGCTGTGTTTTCCTATTACAGAAATGGTGGAGGAAAGGGCTTGAGTCGAGCCAAGGGTGGGCAGGGGGCTGGCCAAAGACTTTCCCTTTCTTTTAGTTGACAAGCTGTTCAGTACTCCTGGGAGGCCCTCGATGTTGACAGTAGAGTAGATGTGGTCAGACTGTGCTGGGCTCCAACTCAGAAAGCACCTCTAGACTTACCTCCTGTTGCTAACATATGTTCTGCTGGCTTTACATCTCCCAACCTTGCTCAGCTGAGCTCCAGTATGCTAATGATTTCTTGCCACTATTTGTAAAGGAAATTAACTGTACAGCTCCGCATTGCCTTATTTATCTCTGTGCGTACTGGGGTCTTTGAAGGTTGTACTGTGGAATTTGTACTGTGAGTTGAATATTAATAAGATAAGAAGAACTGAGTTTCTCTTTTCTAAAGCCTCAGGCTGGCAGCACAAGCAAGAAAGTCAGCTCACGTGTGCAGGCCTCGATGTCCTGGCCCTGCACTCGGTTTGCTGTTAACACTCACCGTAACTGAGAGATTAGTTTAGGACAGTCTGGACTTCAGTAAAGTGTGGAAGAACTCAGAGTCTTTTACGTGAGTTGTGTGTTTTGCTTTGCTACAACTACTGAATTTTAGTCTTCTTTATGCCTTCTCTTTGAAGTGAAGGTTAGGCTTAGGAATGGCATTTAGCACAAGAAAACAGTTAAAGCATTTTAAGCTCCTTAAAGAGATACTTAATATGCTTTAAAAAAAATTCCTGAATATTCTATGTACGAATGTGTATTTCTATAGACTTTACTTCTGAAAGTCTCTTGCCTTCCTCTCCTTGTCCAGGCTCTTAGCTTCTGGGCAAACCAGGTCCATGGGTGAGTGTCCTAGGTTGGGATGTAAATGACACTTAAAAAGAGAAAGCTGAGGTGAGCAGGTTCACCTTGTGAAACTCCATTCTGTTCTTTCCTTCAGCTGATTGACAGGTAAATCCAGATGCAGTTCTTTAGTCGGTGAATGTTACATTTTGCACTCTTACTTTTTCTCTCCCAGGGAATACCAAAGTGTCCGACAGCACTACAATAAAGTCCTAACATTTTCTCCAATGAAACGGATGACTTGAGTGATCAGTGGCCTTTGTTAGAGAAGCAGGGATGTCAAGATGAACTCCATGAATCCATTAACATCGGGAGTCTACCTAGTAACTGAAGTTCTGGGCTTAAGTTCCAGCCTTCGCAACTTGAATACAGGTGGTTCAACGCACAGGAAGGAGCTTCTACTGTGTACCACATGGGAGGCTGCCTAAAAGTCATAATATATGTGAGAAAAGAGGACAATGGTGAAATTGAGTTAGTTTCCCAGCCACTCACTTCATCTTTTAATTCACTACTATTTAGCTTTTTTTTTTTTTTTTTTTGCTAGCTGTGATGTTGCTCTGAAAACCCAGCACTTGGAAGACAAAGGCAGGTAGATCATTGCAAGTTCTAGATCAGCATAGTCTACATATCAAGTTCTCAGAGAAACAGGACTATGTAGTAAGATCGTATCTCTGAGAGACCAAGAAGGGGGCTGGAGAAAGAGAGCTCAGCCGATGCAGTGCCTGTTCTGCAGGCGTGAAGACCTCAGTTTGAGCCTCTGAAGTTGCGTTAAAGGGCCAGGCATGGGGGCATGGATTTATAATCCCAGAATGTCTCACCTAATTTGCAAGCCCTTGGCCAATGAAAGATCCATCACAAAAAGCAAGATAGGCAATGCCAATGGAAGAATGATACCCAGAGTGTCCCCTGGCTTTCACATCTGTGTGCAGTCCCACCTGCATATTCATATAAACTCACATAAAAGCCCCCATTTCCAAAAAATTATATACTTTTTCACATATTGTATAGCTAGAAAAAATGTACAAATGGCAGTGTTATTACAATAAATGTTCAGATATGGGGATGGAGTCAATAACCAGGAAGCGTTATAAGTGAATTGGGATTAAATTTTTATTTCTACTAATAAATAAATAAAGTGTAAAGTTTGTTTGCCAAAGCTCCTGAAATTACTTCTGTTTCTAAGAGCCATTTTGTGGTGCTGTTCACCGAATCTCTGCCATGTGTAAAGCACGGTCTCTGGTCCTAGTAGGAATCAAATTAGAATCCGAGCGACAGTAGGCAATGCTGAGAGCTAATGTGGAATGTGTACTCACCCAGGGTGACGACCTCCAAATACTGTTTTTATTCCTGAATATTCTGTGTACGAATGGGTCTTTCTATAGACTTTTCTTCTGAAAGTCTCTTGCCTTCCTCTCCTTGTCCAGGCTCTTAGCTTCTGGGCAAACCAGGCAAAGAGTCCATGGGTAAGTGTCCCAGGTTGGGATGTAAATGACACTTAAAAAGAGAAAGCTGAGGTGAGCAGGTTCACCTTGTGAAACTCCATTCTGTTCTTTCCTTCAGCTGATTGACAGGTAAATCCAGATGCAATTCTTTAGTCGGTGAATGTTACATTTTGCACTCTTACAATTTCTCTCTCAGAGAATACCAGTAACGAAAAGCCACCTCTCTGTGCTTTATTCTCAGTTGTTTTCATTTATATAGCCCCCAGTTTCTGTAGAAATAATGTTGTAGAACATTCCTGTAGCAGGAATCTTAAAGAGTCTTATTAATAAAAACAAACTTGGAGCCAGGTACTGGGGTCAATGTTGGAAGATCAGAGAAGCAGGACAAGCCACAGCCACCTCACCTTGCCAATTCCTCAGCTGATCCTGTTTCCTCAGACTGGAAGCTTCTGAGCCCTCATCCAAATGGATCTCAGCTGAACTGCTGCTCAAAAGCCTAAAAGCTTAACCAGGATAGTTCCTGGTTTTCACGACTTATATACCTTTCTGCTTTTTGCCATTACTTCTTGGGATTAAAGGCTCTTGTTACCACGCCTGGCTGTTTCCAATGTGGCCTTGAACTCACAGAGATCCAGGCGGATCTCTACCTCTGGAATGCTAGGATTAAAGGCGTGAGTGCCACCATTTTCTGGCCTCTGTATCTAGTGGCTGTTCTGTCTCTGACCCCAGATAAGTTTATTAGGGTGTACAATATTTTGGGGAACACAATACCACCACATGTTCCTATTTACTATTTCATTGTAATTCTTTATCACCCTGAGACTGAGTCGATAATCAATATAATTCCCATGATTCCCACTCAGTAAAGACCTGAAGTCACTAAGAAGTTGTATGAGTTGTTCAGGGACTAGCAAAAACAAGGATCAGATGTGCATCTCTAGTCTGCCCTATTATTTTCCTTTTCAGTGAGTGCCTTGCTTGAAGAAGAGCTATTTGAGCATTCCATGAAAAAGCTGTAAGACATTTCATTGTAACAGCAATACAAAGAAGGGAAAGAAAAAAAGCAAACACATTCCACTCACCCAGTTTCACTTTCTAGATAGTGTTTGGTACAGATAGCGCATCTCCAAATGTGGTCATGCCACCCCACCAGCTCTATGTCTAGTAAATGTGATGCTTTTATTAACGGTATGAATGCTTTACGAAGAGAATTTAGTTCTTTCCTTATACGTTCTCTGCTTCTATCATCTACTTATTGTTTCTGGGTTTGTAGGTTAGGCTTTGGTTGTTGGAGGTTGGAATCCATTTCTGACTCTCTTTTATTTTTAATATCATCAGTAGTTAGTACTGAACCCTGCACAGAGTCTGTGCTCCATCCATATTTTCTGAACTAAGGGAGTGAATGATTGCTCCCACAGGGTGGAGGGACACAAGTATTAATGACACTGTTGACAACAGATGCTCTGTTGGCTGCTCTCATTCCTTTTGTCCTTTGAGGTCCTTGGTGGCTATGCCTGGCTCTCTTTTGTTTCTAGTAGCATAGTTGGCAATTGTAAGCCCAACTAGACCTTGGCCTCACACATATGTCTTTTGTAGTGGTATCCTGATTCCATGAGTGTCGTTGGATAAAAGGGACAAGAAAGGGAGGGGGGTAGAAAAGAGAATTCCTTCAGAATTGTTCCATCCCGGTGGAAGGCCAGAAGTTGCTCTAGATGCTTTACCTGTGTCAAGTTATTTATTTATTCAGTGTCTTCAACAAGTAAACCAAAGACACAGTAATTTGTTGACCTTAAAGAGCTGGCAAGTGGCAGAGGCAGAATTCAAGCCCTGTGTTACCACTGTATCACCCTGACTCTTGATGGAGCTGCATGAAGTCTCAGCAAAGATCAGGACGAAGGAAGAAAAGGAGGAAACAGCAGTCACTAGCAGAGAATCAGTGACAACCAGCCACTACTGTGGCAACAGCACTAGGGAAGCATGAAGTCCCAGATGCCAGTAGTAACTGTAGCCTTATGTGATTAATTTCATTTGATCTCTCTGGCCTCACTCTTCTAATCTGCTCGATGGGTGAAATTATTCTAGACAAATCTCACTCAAATTGTGATATGAGGCCACATTTTGAAAAGAATTAAGAGTAAAGTACAGTAACTTTTAAACTATATATTTTAATAGCTCTTATATATGGTAAAATACATTTTATCAGTTATTCTCAACAATTCCTCATATAGCACCTATCATTAACTTTACTCCACTAAGTAGGAGTACAAAACGAGCAATATCGGTCTCTATAGATTCTGCCCAAATACTATTGAGTTAACTGCTAAAATCTTTAATATTATCACGGACATTATACATACAATAAAATATAATCTATCTATCTATCTATCTATCTATCTATCTATCTATCTATCTATCTACCTATTATCTATCTATGTATACACACACATACATATTGTGAAGGACCTGGTGAAGTTTCTTTTCAATAGCTGAAATCCCAGTATTATCCAATATCTCCCAATACAATGGTGGAGGAGGTGGAGCTAGGATGGGAGGGGTGGGTGGTAAAGATGCAATCAGAGGAAAGAGCTCCACCTATAGATTGCAATGCCACTTCCAACCATACCCCTAGAGACCAGCCTAATTCACAGTGGATCACATACAATCTGTTCACTTTGGCAAATAAATATTATCATTACCCCACTACCATCAGTACACGTGTAAGCCAACCCACAAACCCTATAACTTACTGAGTACATGTTTTTGCATCTAATAGTCTCAATTATAACTCTACCAGTGGTGGTTAAAAGAGTCAAAATCTGAACCATAAGGTTGGAGGCCCAATCTTTCATTTTTCAGTTGTGTGGGAAATTTGGATAATATTCTGAGTTTTCAATTTTCCATGTATGACCAAATTTTTTTTTTTAACAACTGCAGCCTTATTGGGTGCTTATGAGCATTTGTTAAGTCAATGTTTGTATACAATTTACAAAGAAAGCTTGGTGTGAAATAAGGAAATATAAAATGCACATTCATAATGAAGGAGAAATGCCAAGAAATGCACTAGCTGAGGGTCACAAAAAATTGTCACAGAACTCTTCAAGTAGCCAAGTTAGCAGCTGACTGCAGAAGACGTCAATGCCTGTGCTCCTGGGCACTGGGTGGCACAGCTCCTTAGCATGTGACCTATGATGATGACCCACGATTTAAAATCACTGAAAACATGGGGTGAGCTCATATTTGTAGGAATAATGATGTGTCATTTGAATAAAATCAAGTTTAGTCTTTTCCTTGTGGTAATTCTTATCTTGCTTTTTTAATCATTGCCTTTCTAATCCCTTAGGTTCATCCAATCATTGCTACAAGAATTTTCATGGAAAATTTCGATAATGACTACAGATTATGATTATCCTAAGACATTTCTCTTTTCATTTTTCTTGTTATTTTAAGAGTCCTTCTCAAGCAAATTTCTCATTTCAAGGTTCTGTTTCAACACGATTACTAAAATCACTTGCTGAACTGATACAAAGGTGTGCGTGACAATGATAATCCATACTTGAACGTTCCTGGGAGTGGTCACCATCCAGAAAGACTATGGAAAGACAACCTGATGCTGAGCATGGTGTTCAGTTGGCTCACACTGCTGAGGCAGTACCTTAGGAGTGTTAGAAGACTTTTAAATTTGGGTTGAATGTGAAACACCTTTTCTCGGGTTAACGGATCATTTGTTCCTGAGAAAACCAAACAGCCTGAAAGTAAGGAAGAGCAAGTTCTGAACAGCAGTAATTTCAAGCTGAAGTTGAACAAGAGCTAGAACTGTAAATGGGACCTACAGCATCCTGCTTCATTTTCTTCCTACTGTGAACGTATTGCAGGATGTAGTCTCAATTTCATGACATAGGAGGTGGGGTAAAACTTCTGACAGCTGATTGACTAATAAGTATATTAGTATTATTAGTATCTTTCTATATTTTACATGGCATTTACAAAGTATATCAAACAACTTAGAAGAAACAAAGCAATAAAAATGTTGGGAAATAAAGAGTCAAAGGATTGTGGGAAACTTAATTGGGGGAATAAAACCATTATGGATAATTGCAGTTTTTCCAATCCTATGGAATGCTATTTGTTGAACACTAAGTAGTTGGTCTTTGTTTCCATAGAGATCAGAAATAGAAATGGTCTGAAGTTCTCATAAGAAATCTTATACTTACATACCAGAGACAATGTCTTCATTAAACTGGAGAATTTGCCAATTGTGAGTCTTTGCTCCGGGAAATCCGTAAAAACTGAAGAAATAAGCCATGGGTAATCTGATGTGGTGTTGGGTTGAAGCAGATGGCTTAACTGGGATTCCTCTGGGCCTCCTCTGGTACTTAGAGTCCATGATTGCATAAATAAGAATTTGTGTACAAAGCAGGAAAAGGAGCAGACACCATCAGGCATGGTCCACTTAGCAATGCAGTTGTTGGTTATGAGCAAAGCTCTTAGAAACAAACATCTGCTTTAATGTGGAGTTCCAATATGTAGTTACAGTCTGGCGAATGCCTTGGAAGGCTGGTCAAGCACTCATATTAAACTTTACTGATAGGGCAGTTCAAACAGCAAAGATTTGTGGGGATTTGTGATTATTCTGGTTACATGTGTACACTTTAAACGTAATTCACTGCATAATAAATAAATGTATCAGATGACTTTTTCAGACGTGGACAAAGTC